TGTACATTCAAGCTTCCAAGCCATTTTTGGGTAAGTTGAAGGAAGAAGAAGGAGGGGAATCAGTAAAGCTTCAAGGATTTGCTTCAGATCTGGATTTTGTGGAACCTTTCTGAAGTATTGAAGGTATTAAGTCATTTCCTTCCCTTAGATCAAATCTTGGTTGTGAGTTTTAGGGCTTTTAAGCCATGATTAGCCACCCTTATGGGTTAGAAGCCGGATCTGGAGTTGCTACTTCAGATCCAAGTGTGTTATGGTCTGGAGAAGCATAAAGTATCAGCCATTGAGTCGATTTTGAAGCCCCTTGGCCTTAAACCCTAGTTTATGGCATATTTTGCCTAGATCTCCTTCTCTACACGTAAAGTTTGCAACTTTACGTGTGGAATAGGCTTGGGAAGGGTAGATCTACAGTTTGGAGTCCATGCATGACTCTAAAATCCTCTGCATGTAAAGAGAACTGAAGGGACTCGACGAGTCCTTTGAGTGGACTCGACGAGTAGCATGAAGTTGTGGAGAAACTCGACGAGTGGGATGAACAACTCATCGAGTCGTATGAAGATTTCCTTGTACTCGACGAGTCTGTTCTTGGACTCGGCGAGTCAGGTGGCGAAACCCTAAACCCTTCGAGTTGAGACTCGAATCAGTGAGTCGGGTGGAGACTCAGTGAGTTGGATAGGTCTGGACTCAGAAATCGGTAGACTCGGCGATTCATGGACTGACTCGGCAAGTCGAGTCACGAATGGAAGGAATCTGAACATTATGAACTCGGCGAGTCAGTAGGGTGACTCGGTGAGTAGGGTTGACCTGGAAGGTTGACCTTGACCAGGATTTTGACTTGGACCAGGGTGGACTTGGTTGTCTTTCGGGGGTCAGTTAGACTCAGTGTTGCATTGATATTGGTAGTTCGGGGAGCAAGGGGAGCAGGAGTTTCGTGAGTTGTCGGGCAGCAACTAGTGAGATCATCAGCAAGTTCAGCCAGTGCAGGTGAGTTTCCCTTTGTGTGAATGGGTCTAAGGCCACAATGCCAGCCCATGTAGTTATGAATAGAAGACCCGGGGGTTAGCCCTAGGCACAGTATGCTAGTATTATTCTCAGGACGAGGTCCAATAATAGCGGGTGGGTGCCCAAGGAATTGTTTATATGATAGTTTATACTTGTTGTCTGTGTGATACATGTATGTGCCTGGTAGGGAGGTGAGTGGGGGCGAGGTCTCGTATCTCACCAATAGTAGAGTGTGGATGGGGTTCCATATCTCATTAGTAGCAGAATAGGGGCGAGGCCCAAACTAGAACATGAGTGAGAGTGGGCTAGGCTCGTACCTCACTACCATTAGTAGCGTGGACGGGGTTCCATGACTCATCAGTAGCAGGACATGGGCAAGGCCCAGGATAGGCGAGGCCATAGGACAGAACCAGTTGCATGTATTAGTTATGTGTTGTGAAATGTTTATGTGTTATTATTTGTTGACGGGCGAGGCCTAAGTAAAACAGATCTGTATCCGAGCGGGGCTTGAAGCCAGGCGGGGCCGTTGTAGCGGGCGAGGCCCGAGGTTGGGGGCGAGGCCCAAGGTAGGGGGCGTGGCCTAGTATGTGCAATATGTGGTTATGCATGGTATGTGGTAGGGTGGGGAACTCACTAAGCTTCGTGCTTACGGTTTTTCAGTTTTGGTTTCAGGTACTTCCGGTAGCGGAGGGAAGAGCTCGGGGTGATCGCATGGCACACACCATAGATTAGACAGCCTGGGAATGTTTACTCTGATAATGAACATGTGTTTTGAAAAATTATACTCATATTATGTTTTGGAATGATGACTTTACTTTAAGTAATGATTTATTAAAAGAAATTTTTGGTCTTAAATTTTTGGTCGTTACATTATACGTCCCTAGATGTCACCTGGGTCACTCCAAACACTTGATTTGAAGTGTTTTCGCGTCTTGGAGTGTATAATCATATCTAATTAGTGATTTAAAGTCTAATTAGATACAATTGTGTATCATTTCACATTACATAGGAACCACGCGCGCTTTCAAGCCTTCAACTGACGTTTAGCATCCAAACCGACACATTTTGTGATTGGTGAGTTCATACCCCTACGCATTTTTCCGTGTTTTTCAATGTTTTCATGGGGGGGGGGGGAATACAAGAAAAACTACAAATGTTTTCAAAAACCTAAAACTGATATATTTCTATAAATATCTGGCTAACCTTTAGATATCTTTACCCCTTATGTATTACGTTGAGCATAAGGGATGTTGTCTCGACTATAACTACATGGATTTTAGTAAAGGAAACAATCAAATCAATTAAATTATTATGGGAATAATTTGGGATCTTTAGTTCTTGTTTTACGAACATAGATTTACGTAAAGTTAATAGATAAACTATGTCTGATTCAGATTATCTCTATTTAATTTAGAATATATTGCCAGATAATTTCATTGTATTTAACTATTTCTACTATATTATGTTTCAAAACGATTTGTATGTCTGATAACGTATGAGAACACTGTGAATAACATGATACTAGCTTGTGAGATTCGTCATTATTATCAGTAAATCATTCCCGGAAGTGTAACCAGAGTCTCCTGGGGGGAGAGCGTGGAATTTGTGGATAGATCTATTCGGGATAGACAATTCCACACCTAAACTGCTAGCTACAGTTAGGCGTGGACACCTGGTGTGACAAATTTTGGAAATCGTCTGACGTCTGACAAACGTCAAGGAGGTCTCGGTGTCGCATTAGCATGGTTACCCGACTCACAATACATATTAATATAAGTTTATTCACGGATTTGATTTTATATCTATTTTCTACCTATAGTTCTTATATCTTGTACGGGATGGTAATCCCATGGTTTTATAACTTATATCTAGTACGGGATGGTAGTCCCATGGTTTTGAATCTATATCTAGTACGGGATGGTAGTCCCATGGTTTTATATCTTATATCTAGTACGGGATGGTAGTCCCATGGTTTTGAATATATATCTAGTACGGGATGGTAGTCCCATGGTTTTATATCTTATATCTAATACGGGATGGTAGTCCCATGGTTTTTGAATCTATATCTAGTACGAGATGGTAGTCCCATGGTTTTATATCTTATATCTAATACGGGAAGGTAGTCCCATGGTTTTGAATCTATATCTAGTACGGGATGATAGTCTCATGGTTTTCAATCTATATCTATCTATAGTTTTGTGTATATCAAAGTATCTTATATCTAGTACGGGATAGTAATCCCATGATTTTAAGTATATAGTTTTATGTACAAAACTATACAATGTGGTCTTTAACTAAACTTTACTTTTAGGAAAATAAGTGTTTTTCCTGGCATAATAAACTGTACATAACCGGATCGTATAATAAACGGATAACTCAACTAAACTTATAAGAAAATATGAGATTTTCTTGGATAACAAACTTTTTCGGAAAACCAAAGGAAACTTGTACATTTTCAGAAAACAAAACTCTTATGAACTCAGCAGCTTTATGCTGATTTTCAAACTGTTTGTATTATCAGGTCCGCATTAGACAGGTAACCAACGATCCTTTTGGCGAAAACGGAGTACGTAGAAGACACGTCTTTACTTTTGTTCATATGATACATATGTATAACACTCTTAACACTTTACTTTTGAATAAATGTAAATTCTAATATGTAATGTAATGGTTGTTTACTTTGCTTACTATGTACATTGGTTGTGATACTTAACATGAAGTCACCTCCGCCCCGGAACGTTTCCACCTGCGGTTTCGGGGTGTGACACATAGGTATAGATTTTTAACTATGCAACAAATATTGTAACAAGATATCTACGAATTTAGATTCAGTAGTAAATTTTGTTGCAAAATAGTTACGGCTATTGATTCCGTAGCAATTTATATAGCAAAATAACTACATAATTTGATATGTATTAAATTTTGTAGTAAAATACACACGACTCATGATTTCCCAGTGAATTTCGTAGTATGCTAGTTACATAATCCAATTACGTAGCAAAATTTCGTAGTTATTCAAATACTAACTACCAAAGCGTAATTTTTTTAGCTGATTTCGTAGCAAAAATGGCTACGTGAAACAATTTACAGCAAATTCCATAGTATAATAGCTATGGAGTTTGATTTCATAACAAACTTCCATAGTTATTCAAATATTAGTTATGGAATGCAATTCTGTAGCAAATTTCATAGCATTCTGTAGAATATTCCGTAGTTAAATAGCTATCGATTCCACTTCTATTGCAAAATTTCATAGTTATTTCAACTTTTTCTTGTAGTGTCAAAAGTAATCGAAAAACCACTTCTTGATGACTTGTCCTTGTCCCATGTTTTAAAGCGTTCGGGGTAAAAGTTGAAACATATCACAAGAATTGTCCTTGTCCCATGTTTTACTTCCATAGACTTCAAGTATTGCATGCACCTCACATCCTTTGAGAATACTAGTGCGCCAGCTGGATCGACAAAGTTAACTCTGTGAACCTTACATCCTTATCAAAAATTAAAAAGGAAACAATCAAAAATCAATTATAACTTTCATATTGTTTTTATTTGTACATTTTTAACACCAATTATAGGCCAACACTTTAGAACACGACAAACCAAAGCACAACATTTAGTGCTTTTGTTCTATAGTGAGTTGTCAAGTACGAAGCTCTTCCTGTGTCATTGGCAGCGTCGACTCGTCCAGGCTCAATAAAACCGACACGTGTACACGTCTTTGCATGGTCAAAGTCAAAAGTCAAAACCATGGTTTTGTATTCTATGGATTAAACCTTGCAAGTTACTAATTAAAAACCCAAAAAAGGGTCTCTGTGCAAAGAAGTTTATATGGTTATATGTCATCGTTAAAAACATAGAAGTTGTATGGTTAAACGACATCGTTTAGAACTTGGAAGTTGTATCATTGTATGGTTACTCTAATAGTAAAAACCCGAAAAAAAGCGTGCTTGTACATGCGGGAAATAAGTAATATTCAAGCGCTTGTTTGGTCTAAAGGTTAACTAGGTATTGTTATCTTCGCCTTGCCACTTCCAAACGATGTCGTGTAGGGCAGGTCTAACGTCCTCTTCACAGAATTTCTTGTATTCGAGTGTATCACCGGTTGACTTCGAAAACTCCACCACCGAAACCTCCGGCGCCACCTCGAACACCTCCGCCGTCACCAACAACTTCCCTTTTCGACCCTCGGATATCCCCTGCATCTTTATTTTGTACTCGTTTTGCTTTGAATTCAGAATCTTGAAGTTGAGTTTCTTAGCAGCTGAATCGAGTTTGTCGAGAATGACGGAAGCAGAGTATCTTGACGTGAATAAAGATCCTGATTTTCGTTTACTCTCGAACATGTTTGATAAATCGAAGCCGGAAGACATTGATGAAATGAACTCGAAAGCGTTGTAGAACGGCGGCGATGATTTCAATTTTGGGAGCTGTTCTGTTTCGTTTCCCTGATCTTCGGTTTCTTTGATTGAAAACGCGAGTGGTCTTTGAAATCCTTTCAAGAACCATGGTAATCGCATGATCGCCGGAATTGTGATTCTACGCGACGGATCCACAATTAATATTTTGGAAATCAACCGCCGTGCGTCGGCGGAAAACCACGGCGGACATTCGTATTCGGCTTTGAAGATCTTTTTATACATGCGCATGATATTTTCATCTTGAAATGGAAGAAACCCGGCTAATAAAACATATAAAATCACCCCACAAGACCAAATATCCGCCTTGGCGCCGTCGTACCCTTTTCGCCGGAGAACTTCCGGTGCAACATAAGCCGGTGTTCCGCACTGTGTATGAAGCAACCCGTCGTTCGTTAACTGCTCCGGCAACGCCGACAACCCAAAATCTGTTACTTTCAGATCACCATTTTCATCCAAAAGTAGATTCTCCGGCTTCAGATCACGGTGGGAGACACCACGGCTATGGCAGAAATCGACGGCGCTAATCAACTGCTGAAAATACTTCCTCGCTACATCTTCCTTCAGTTTCCCTTTCAAAACCTTAGCAAAAAGTTCGCCGCCGGTGACGTACTCCATAACGAAAAAGATTTTCCGTTTGGTCGCCATAACTTCCTTTAATTCAACGACATTTGGGTGTCGAACAAGCCGCATGATGGAGATTTCACGAGTGATTTGCTCCATTAAACCTTCTTTTCGAACTTGATCTTTCTTGATGACTTTAATCGCTACACTTTCGGCAGTAACAAGATCTTTAGCATAGTACACCTTTGCAAACGTCCCTTGTCCCAACAACCTCCCCATCTCGTACTTCCCAAAGATTATATTCCGGCCACCACTACTGCCGTGACGATAATCGGTAAAATCTTCCATTTATCTCTCTATCAATGGGAGGCTAGCTAATTGTTTTAGATGGGGTTAAGGTGGTGGAGTTGGCTTCTCTCCATGGTGTTATAGAATATAGATGCTCCGATGTATGAATTAGACGGTGGTTGACGGTTGTCGGAGGGGTGTTTTCTGCTGAACTTTGAGAGTTTGAGGGGTGGAAGCCGTATATAAATGGGTGTAGAGTGAGAGTGGTAGGCGGAAGAGGGACCCAAGATTGTGGGGTTTTGTGAGGTGATGATTGGAGGACATAGTTTCGATAAATATTCATTATTCAAGGAGCGGCTATACCCACAGTTTTTGCATTATTGATGATGTTGCGAATGGTCGACTGATACGTGTAATTCGTGAAAAAACTTTGCCAGCTTACATACCTAATTAACTTTAATTGCTGTTGCATAATAGTAATATTGTATTTTTGTGTATACGATTTGTGTTGATTAATTATTCTAATTTTAGTTTTGATTGGATATGAACATGTGATGTCGGGTGTTTGTTGATGATGAGTGGCCATAATAAAACGAGATTAGTAAGGAGGCAAACACAACTAATGTCGTTGATGGCTTGATCGGACTTAGAAAATCCACAGAATTTAATAATTGATAATAATAGATTGTTTTGGGAAGAAATATGTATATTAAAATTTTAAATCTACTCTAATAATGATAACGTTTTGAGAAAATCAATGTACTTATAGCATTTATAATGATTAACAAAAATGAATATACGTAACCATTAAATTTAAATATAGAACCTTTTAAACCGATATAGTTTTAAGAAAAAAAAAATCATTTTCATTGTTTGGTTTTAATAAATACAAATGAATTGTGTTAAAATAAAAAATAAAAAATATCAATTATATAACTTTTTTTATTGAAAAAATACATCAAAGTTTATAGGATCAATAAAAAAACATTACTTTTAATGAATATAAATCAAAATCTATATCCGTTGATTCTATCCAAAGAATATGTGAAAAAGTGCATGATTGAAGTATGTGTATTTTCAAAATTTTACTTCTTTTCTTTTACTCCGGGTTAAAAAATTGGTGGTGCTTTGGTCATGATTTTCAATGTTTTAGATACAATGAAGACAATAAACATAGATTTGATCGATTTATGAAGCTACATGAGTTCAGGAAGAATTGTAATTGAAAGATTATATTAGTTTGAATAACAAATGAGAACACTTAAAAAAATGAGAACACGAAAACATCTATCAACCAATTGTTTAAGGAGAGCAAATGAGTAATTTTATGTGTAATATAATTAATAATTCATATATTAGCCATTATTCGGTACCTACAATCAATGGATATTCCATAAATATTGTGGATTGACTTATACGGTTTCTATCTAATTGAAAACTAACAAATAAGAAAGTCAATCAAAGAGTATTGGTTGATCGACTATTGCATCAAGAAGATCAATTATTATCAGAAAAACTAAGAACCGATACATTTGAGCATCCAAATTAAAATCGAAGATATAATGGTTTGGTGATAGTAGCGATGATAATGATCAATCTGACGATCAATCAAGTGAAAAAAATCAATATTGTGATTATGTGAGTGAAGATGGTAATGATCAATTGGACGATCAATCAAGCAGAAAAAGTCAATACTCTGATTATGCGAGTGAAGATAACGTTAACAAGTTCAATTACATACAAATCATGTCGTGGGAGCCCTCATGTTTTGTTAGCAAATAAAAATTGCACTTCAACAATATCGCTATTTTATTGCAATTCATGTATTATAATCAACAAGGAAGTATAAAATTCATTGTTGTACAACTATTCATTATTTTCAATTGATTAAATACTTCAATGTTGATTATTGTTAAATACATGTTGATTATGATCAAATTATTAACTACTTCATGATTAAGTAATGAATCTAAATGTATATTATGTCTCATGATGAATTGTTTACGTTAATATAAAGTTGTTTTTTTGTTTATTGGTTTTGTTGTCTAAAAAATAGGTATAAATGGAAAGTTATGGAAACCTATTGTTCCTAAAGAATTTATACCAGATGAAGATGCTACTTATCAATCTTTTTAAGAGGCGGTTGAAATGTATAAATTATATGTAGATAAACCAGGTTTTAGTGTCATCTTAAGTACAATAAAGAGGTTTGGGGACAAAACCATTAAATTAAGGTATGTAGTGTGCAACAAAATGGGTAAAATACCTAACATATCAACTGACACTTTGGATACTGAAGGAAGTGGTAGGAATAAACGAAACTCAAACTTTAGAATCATGGACTGAAGGGCATTGGTAAAGTTTGAACGACTATATATGGGAACTAATGCTTGTAAAATATATGAGTTCGGAGAGAAGCACAACCACCCTTAGACACTAAAGAAGAAAGACAGTATTCCAAACGTGCACGACAACTTAGTTATAAAGACAAGGAGTTTATAGTGCGTTCCACAACATCTAACATTGGTGCAACAAAGGGACATAAGTTACAAGCTAGTTTGAAAAGAGGTTATGAAAATGTTTTCCCTGAAGTCATTGATTATAACAAATTTAGAAGGAAGATGAAAATGTTACAGAATTACATATTTGAGTGTAAATATGTTGATAGTGTGTTAAACTCAATGTTTTGGGCGGATGAAACTGATAAATTATATTATAATGAGTTTGGAGATGTGATCTCTTTGATACTACTATAACACCCAGTTTTGATTCGTTTCCTAATTTGGGGCCATGACCCGAAGACCGGTTATCATAAGGCTTAGGGCCCTTTCAGGAAAGAGAGACTTAGACCCCTTTGGGTGTGAAAAATGTAGATTGGGTGATATGGGAGTTCGATTTATGTTTTGGAGCCTAAGAGTATAACCATTAAATGACAATTTAGGGTTTTCATGAATTTTAGATTTAAGTTTGGAAAGATTTAAGGCAAAGGAGAGTTGATGAAACTGTAGACCTCTTTCATTACCTTTCTAGCGATATAAGGATCGTCGAAATCAGACTTAGAGCAAAGAAGTTATGGCCTTCAGAAGTTTGGTGGTATTGGGGCTAAGCCTAGTATGAGGGTGTAAATAGGAGTACGTTGGCCATACTAGGCAGATAGATCATTGATGCTTCTTTGAGTACGTAGGGCATACCAGGAGTACCCAGGTGTACTCTAGTCAGGTGCAAAACCTAATTTAGGGTCTTGGACCCTATTTAATGGCATTAACTCAACTCCAAACCTTCCTACCTTCAACCTCCATCCCATTAAACCCTAGATACGAAACCATAGGCTCTATTGGAGTGATTCTTGAGTTCTTGGAGTGATTTCATGTGTCTTGGTGATCATTGAAGAAGAAGGAGCTTCTTGAAGGAGTGTTGGATTGTTTGAAGCTTGTGGATCCAGACTTTGTGCATCTTGATCCATCTTTTGAAGGTATAAAGTCTCAGTCTTGGTGGCTCATTTGCATAGATCTAGTAATGGGTGGTGTTTTATCATATTTTGGTCCCAAGGTTGTAGTTTTTGTGAGTAAAAGTTGTTGCAGAACCTTTAAGCCTCATATTTGGTCTTTATTGAGGTTATTAAGTCATAAAAATGTCATCTTGAGGGTTTTTGTTGAAGCATGCTAGAGTTATTGATCATATTCTAGATATAGATGGATAAAAACAAGGATTGGGTCCCATTAAGTCATGCAAAGAAGTAAACTTGCCAACTTTACATGTTAAGATACCCCTTAAGGGCCAGATCTATGTTTGGACGCTTTTGTCTTAACCATAAGAGCTTATTATGGGTTTTGGCCCTCTGATGAGTATGTTTTGGGCATACGTAGGAGTACGCTCAACATAATGCATGGATCAAACATCAAGAAGTTGTACATTGTGCTTTGGCAGTCGGTACGCGGGGTGTATTCCCTAGGGAGTCCATTTTGGGCCTTTTGGGAGTTGGGCGAAGAGATGTTGGACCAATTTTGGGAAGGATAAAATGGTCTTTTACTGTTTAGAAAACTGGATTATAGATTGAGCCTGAGATTTTGGGATATTGGTTTAATTATTAATTAAGGTTGTATTTATTGTTAGTTGGTGCGAGATTATCTTGTTTAGTGATCCGAGTAGTTATTTGGTTATCAACGGATTAAGGTGAGTCTTTTCATTGTACCCGTGGGTCAAAGGCACCAATGTTTCTCCACTAGGATATGTTATGCTTGTTGTCTTTGCGACTCTTGCATGGTATGTTGGGCTAGGCCTATTGTATGATGAGATTGGTCTATTTGTATATTATGCTAGGCCCATGGATCGGGAAGGGCTAGGCCCATTTTATGTTATGTAGGTGCTAGCTATCTCTATTACTCTTGCATTTGTATGTTGGGTTGGGCCCAATATGCCAACTAGGCGTAATGGTATGTATGGTATGTGATGCGTGAAATCATCCAAGCTCAAGTAAGTGATTCCCAAAATACCCATACATATTGATATGTTATGAATGTTTGCATGCTAGGATAAAGCTAGGGATACTTTTACGAATTGCATGATAAATTGGCCTGATATGTGATGCCTTGTAGTCTAGGAAGCATTATATATTATGATTGGGATTATGTATTGGTATTAGTAATTGCTAAGTGTATGCTTTAAAAAATTTATATACTTAGGATCCTATAGCCTTAGAATGACTGATTTTGCCTTGTTTCTTATTCCTTGCCTGGTTGTGGTCCTAGGATAGGGTCTTTTATTCGACCGTCTATTTGATCCTGTATTGTTTATAATTTTCATGCATAAGGCAATCGACAGTGAGAGTGGAAGTTCCTAGCATGAGTGGTAGTAAGTGAGCGGTGGACGTTCTTTGTTTGTTCTATGGCTTGGAGTGTTACTACTCGAATGTTTCTTTCTGTGTGCTTTGTAGAACTCTTAAGTGATGTGAGTTAACTATTGAGTGAATATGTTAAGTCACATGCGATAAAGGTTAAATAATCTCAGAGTGATGGATTTAACCATATTACGCAGCTCTTGCCTAAGTCCAACCGTTGCAG